CCCCATTACTGGTAAATATATATATATATAGTGCTGAATAAATTTAGAATGAAAATCAGCTAGTTTCCAAACAAAGATGGTTTTGGACAGCCTCCAAAATAAATGATGGTGAAATGCAAGCTGGATCTCAATGCAATTATGATATTCTTTTGAATAATAAATAGTGGCAGAAGACAAGATGCAGTGATCTTGGTTCATCTTTTTTTTAAAAAAAAGACAGAACATATAAACGATGTGCAACTTGTGAAGATAAGTTTACCGCATAGATTTGGAAAACAGATTTGAAGAAAATATGTATTTGCTGTGAGGAAAGAAGCAGCGATGGGAAATCGCTATTGATTTCTGGTAAGTGTATATTGACTTAAAAAAAAAAAGCAAACTTAAAAATTCAAAATAACTAGACATAGTCAATATTGTCTCAAGAAATTTAATATCAATCTGTAGGAAGGAATTTTCTTCAAAATAAAATGTGAAATAATTTTACAGCATTTAAAAGAAACTTATTTTCTATTGGTGCATTATTAAATCTATATAGATATAAATAATCTGATCTATTCATTTAAAGATCAGGCTGACATTTATTGTTCCAGTCACAGTTTAGCAATTAAAAGCATTTTAGAAGTTACTATGCTAGAGTCACTTTTTGTCCTGGTCTGAATGTTGAACCAGCTTGCCCTTTCCTCTTCTTGGGATTCTGAAAGTTATCATACCTGGAAAGAGAAAACAATATTAGCACATTATTAGGAATCACCTTTGTTTGCAAGTGCCCCTTCAGATGCACATGAACACAACACAGAACTGCACAATCTCCCTGAACAAACAACTGTGAGTCTGCTCACACCAGATGATCACTGGAGCTAAAAACCTGTGAGACTTTTCATCCCCTAATTTAATCCAGAGTCTTTTCTGCTCTGTGTTTGGAGGGGAGGGAAAAGCATAGATAAAACATGGCGACACAGGCTCCTGGGAAGCATGTCTAGTTCTCTTTCCTGTCCTTTCTTTCTTTCCCCTGCTGTAAGAATTTTCAAGCTGAGGAAGACCACTCTTTAAGAGTCTTTCTGTCCAAACAACAAGCAGGTGAGATCTCAGAACATCCTGATACCAACTTTTTTTTTTTTTTCACTCCAGTTATCTAAGTGCAATCTAAGGAGACATTCTCCTTTTCAGTAACAGTGTGCCCCTGCTTTTGTAGATTACTTCTGTATGCTGAGGGCTCAAATACAAGGTGCCTTTTCTCAAACGCCGCACTACGACGGCCACTGCTGCGAGTCGAAGAGCAGCTACAACCTCTGCGCCACGGCAGCAGGCAGGAGCTGGCATTAGGCCTTGGAATCACCTAACAAGTTACAGAGTAATCTTGTGAAGCTACATCCATTTCATTAACACGATAACGAGAGGGCCGTGTAGCCAGCAAATCAGTCACTGCAGTTTTCATAATCTGACATCACAGATGCGGGGAAGATGAGTGCAAATTCCTGCAGATTTGAGCCTTTCACAGGGAAGTGCAAGAACCTAGTGGGTGGCAGCACCTGTCTGCAAGCAGTATTTGTACATGGGAGACAAATACCACACAAGCACCAAACAGCAACATTGATCTTCTAAAGAACAATGAAGCATTCGTATGGGAAACCAGAAGACTGAGCTAAACAGTTACTTTAAGCTACTGTGGGGAGTACTGACAGGAGCTACGTGATGTAAAGCAAGTCTGCTGCTACCCTGGATTTGTCTTCATCAACTTCTGTCTCATGAATGACAGTTATTTTCATCATTAAAGATCTACTGTGCCTTTGAGAAAAACATACATCTTCCCTTAGCAACCTTGGAAATCACCATCTAGATTATAGAGAGAGTATTAACACAAAATAGTATAAATGAAGGTATAGCTTAGCTTTATAAAGCAGTCAGGAAGATGAGGAATATTCTGTGATTGTTCCCTTGTGCTCCCCTGCCTCTCTCTTGCCTAATTAACCTGAATACTGTTTGTGATAGGAACAAACAAAAAAAGCTGTTCAGCTCCTCTGCCATTCCCACTCTAATGGGTAAGAAAGGTAAAATGATCAAGCCCTCAATGAATCCACATTGCTAAAAATTTTTATACTCACAGCTCAGTAAAATTCTTCCAGTCACTTTGGCTAATGGATGGTCTTATGCCCTCAAGA